TTTGCTTATGCCGTGTTGCCGCTTCTACTCTAAACCAGTGGCAACATCGCTATTTAAAATAGAACACCCTGTATGTGATTGCATATTTGGATTTTACGTAAAATTCTGAGTAGATTTCGTGTGATATACCCTATACCTAAGTTCAACTGTTTTGGAAATATTGACAATTGAAAATTGACTTTTTGCAACTTTGACAGGCTGTAAAACCTGAACGGTTAATTTTAGAGGAAAACCGAGTTCACATTCCAATCTTAGATTTTTATAAACTATCATTTGACACCAACTTTGAATTTAATCCATGATTAAAAATTCCAATTAAATTTAATTTCCGGTTAAATTAAAATTTGGTGTCAAATGATAGCTTATGAAATTTCCTCTACAATTAACCATTGAGGTTTTGCAGCCTGTCAAAGCAAAAAGTCAATTTTCAACTGTCAATATTTCCAAAACAGTTGAAATTAGGTATAGCGGTATATCACATGAAACCTGCTCAGAATTTTACGTAGAATCCAAATATGCAATCACATCAGGGTATTTCATTTAAAATAGCGATGCTGCCACTGGTTTAGAGTAGAAGCGGCAACACCGCATAAACAAAAATATTTTTAAAGTATTAATTATGGTCGTTTATTCCGGTTGCCAAATTTTCAAAATGATCCGCTTTTTAGTTCTCCATAAACGTCTAATAAGCCATCCACCGTGGGACACCCTGTATATATTAATGACTGATTGGGATAGCTCTCTGCTTTTTCTGCTTTCAATAATATAAAGTTCGATAGGTGTATCGCCAACAGTTTTCCAGAAAAAAAATTATATCTGTTTTTGTCGTAAGAAACCATGTGTTGAAAGAGGACTTTATATCTATAAGAAAAATGAGATAGGTCTCCTTCTAACACATTGTTTCTTTTGACTGAAACATCTATAATTTTTTTTCTAGAAAACTGTTAGAGCTAGATAGACTTATTAAACCTTATATGTATCATTGAAATCTATATATATAAAAATCAAAGTTCGCGGGGTATCCGGGTGTAGGAGCGCACTACACCACTTATCCGATTACGATGAAACTTTGGTAGGTTGTTATGGCCATCTCAAGGAAGGTTTGTGGATAGGTTACGCATCTCGGAAAAAGAAAATTATTTTGAATTAATTATTAATTTAATTGTAAACAAACTCATTCAAATTATATAACAACATAAACCAACTTTTTTTTGGACAGTATGAAAGGCTTGCCATTCAACCGACGCGACGTAGCTTTATTATTTTTTGATTTCGAGAACGGCTGGACCGATCTTGAATTTAATACCACGTATCTTATATAAGCTGAATTCGATTGACCCAGATTAGATCGATTTGGGTTCAATTTAAGTGAACTTCTTCTGATCTAGATCATTTTTTTGTTGATGAGAGTGCACTGATCCAGCCTCAATCGAACACAGGGTGGTTCACTTAAATTGAACCAGATCGATCTAATCCGGTCAATCGAATTCGGCTAAAGAGGGGAGTGCTATAAGCTATTTTTTATCCAAAAAAAAAAAGTTCGGTTGCGCGAAACTCTGATACACTGGAATGCCTATAAACAACTCGGGGCGCTCTAGAACAGCTCTGGAGTGCTTGAAATGCGTCACTGAACTCACTGGCAAGCGACTCTGGTATCGGATAAAAAAAATAAATTAAATAGAAAATCAACAACAAAATTTGAAAAAAAGTGTATTATTTCAAAATGTATTTTCAAGCTGGCAACGCAGCGGGTCATTAGCTAGTAAGCAATAATAGAGCTATCAATGAGTTATTAATATATACCTGCTAGAGTTTTTTATATATAAACAAAAAATAAGAGAAATATGGAAAATTGAGAACGTCATTGAATTCTGCTTGGAAAAAAAGTACTTCTAGAAAGTTTATACAGAAATCAATTATTTTCATAGATAAAAAAGTAAGGAAGGTTTCACCTTATTGCTCAAAATCGAGAAACATCCTCTAGTGGCCAAACGGTTGAGGGTATCAAAAGACGCGTTTGCAGTGTTTTCACCAATCAAGATTTCATGAAATTTGAGCCTCAGCAGAGTGGGGGGTAATTTTTTTTTTGTATCTGGCTCAGAAATTGACGTTATTTACGTTTCATATCAAAAGTGTCCAAATTGGATCACCCTGTAAGTACCTACATTCTTTAACGTATAAGTAAAGTAAAAATAAATTTTCAAAAAATCTTTGTTGATCATTCCATGCCTGCCCCCCCTGAAGAAAATCCTGGATCCACCACTGGATACAGTTTTAATAATAAAAATTTACGGCTAAGAAATTTTAAATTTATTCCCGCATATCTCGTTGTGGAAAAATATTGGCTGGTTGAAACGACGCCTTCCTAAAAATTTCATAGTCCTGATGTTAAGAAGGGCATTTTTGAAAGCGATCACTGACAAGATGGTTTTGAAGTTGTTACTGAATTATGTTCCAAATTTCGATAAAAAATGGGAATACCTTCTTTAAGATCCTCTTCCCAAATTTCACACAGCAAGCAAACAGAACTAGTCCTTATTTTTGGGGTCAACTTATCAAGTCTATAACGAAGAAATACTTTTAAAAAACTTTATTTTCGAACTTGCTATCAAACCTTTTCGAATAAAATAATTTAAAATAAATGTTTTCAACTGACAGTAAATCAAAAGCAAAGTTTTATAATACGTATTTAATAATTATATTCTAAGACGGACAGACCAATAAAACACATGACATGTATCATAGAGACGACAAACAAATTGCCAACTAATACTACATTTCCCCTTGTCTTTAATACTGAAGATTTGATCTAGAAGGACGTTTAATTTGCGTTCCAGAACCAGTTGCTAGGGGTTGAATCGGGGAAGCTGAAATTTCACTTGAAAATTATTTGTTAATATTTTTATTAATCCTCAAAGGACTCGATACGTTCGTTTTGGGAATTTCAACTTCTTTTACATTTAAAGAACTCCGCTCAAACCTTATGATCCGATTAACCCGATCACCGGCTGTTCATTTTTCATCTGTCTTTAATGAACACGATTGAAAAAAGACAAATTATATCAGCTGCTGATCGAGTTAATTAGATCTCAGATCAGCGTTTCCGTAGAGATATGTTATGTCTATTGTCATGATATAAAAATAAATTAGGTATTCCAGAAATAATTTTAGAATATTGAATACCTACTATTGAAATATTTCTCAAGCTTTGGTTATTGTTTACATAGAAGAACTAGTATAGCACAGTAGTCCATTTCATTGTTTAAAAAAAAGTCTCGTGAAAAAAACGAAAATGTGACACTCTACCCAATACAAATGAAAAATTAAATATTTATTTTTCAGAATCATTGGCCAAATCTCCATAACGTTTAATCACGAAGACTTCCCCTTATCTGAACAATATAAAAAATTCAGGGAATTCCCCCGCATTGATCACTTTTCCATGGGTTTTTTTTCTGAAACGATAGATGATGAAGAATATAATAGAAACTTTCGAGATAAGATATATTGGTCACATTCGGGGTATTATTCAATATGTTTTTTTTGTGAATAGTATCGCGAAGAAAGTTTGAAGAAGAAATTCGTGGGTCATGAGATAAGCAAGAAAACACTGATTAATCGGTGTTTTCTTGCTCAGCCCCTAACACTCAAATTTCTTAATGTATGCGGTTTCATTGGCTTAACATATGACTGCATTATCCTGGGCTCAATTGCATGAACAAGCATATTCATGGATTGAGGTTAACCCGAGCTGAACTGTGAATAAACCCTCTTTATTAGGTATGTTGAATCATCATCATCATCATAGGCAATCACTCGATACTGAGTATGATTATCTTCTATTCTATTCTTCGTCCATTGTGCGTTTTCTGATGGCTATAAAAATCAATTCTGGAGTAGCACACTCTTCCACAGTCTTGGCACATCCAGTCTCTGACAGCATTGTCTCTTCCTCTGATGTCTCGCTCCTTCCTGCGGTTCCTCTTTTCGGTCTCGTGTCTGCGTCGCTGTTCCTCAAAAGTTTGTGATCTGTCGTAGACTACTCGACGCCATGAGGGCCTATCATTTGTCCTCGAGTCCCACTTGCTGGTATCGATGCGGTACTTTGCCAAAATTTCCTCTAGAACATCTTTGTAGCGTTTTTGTTGAGCTCCGTGATTCCGTTTTCACTCTTTCAGTTGACTGTAGAGAATCTGTCGTGGAAGACGTGTTTGGGGCATGCGGACGAGGTGACCTGTCAAGCGAAGTTGGTGCTTGATGATGAGGGCGTTCATGCTAGTTGTGTTGGCCTCCTCTAAAACACTAATGTTTGCTCGTCGGTCTTGCCATTCAATCTGTAGGATCCTTCTTAGGCAAGGAGGTATTTTGCTAGGCTTTTTTGTGTCTTCTGTAGGTGATCCATGTTTCGCAGCCATATGAAAGTGTTGGTATCACAACTGCATTGTAGTCGCGAAGTTTCGTGATCGATAATATGGTGTGCGGCTGTGTTTGAAGAATTCTATACGTTAGCATGACGAATAGGTCTGTATCAAAACTATAAAATTCATTAAATTAATAAGTAAAGTTCGTTAGTTAGTGCTCTAGCACCACTATAAAGTTCGTTAGTTAGTAACGTTCATTAAATCACTAACACATACGTCAAGCTGATGAAAAATATTCATTAATTAATGAATTCTTGGTCATTGATTCGATGCATAACTTCATTGACACAATGAAGAAATTTCCATAGGCATGATGAACAAATTTTTTGGATAAGAAATAATCATCAGTACAATGAATGTGGTTTATGAACGATTATTCATAAAATCAAAGAATAGAATCAGTGGTCTTCAAAGAAAATTTCTCATACGAGAGTGTTCGTTCGAACAATAGAAAATAACAATTCATGGGTTTTAGGATATTAATGAACATAAATTCGTTACATTAGGGAACGAAATATAAAAGTCAAGGCATATTTTTATTAAATAAAATAATAATGTTGGTTTTTTATCCCCTTTCAGATGTATGTTACCATTTGAAACAGAAAATGCATCCTACTTTTTGAATCAGACTCAATTGGATTATTGGTACCCATTGGACTTAAAAACGAAAACCCATTCATCATGCAGATATAAGTTGAATACTACCGAATTGAATTGTGATCGATATATTTTCGACAACTCGTTCGGAAGAACTGTGGCTGTTGAGGTAGGTCAATAGATAAAAAAATATAACTCACATCACATAGTCAACAACAAAGAAGAAGAGGAAGTTTATTAGAGAAATGGACTCTCTCATTAAAATTTAAATATGTAATTTATTAATAAAATCTTAAACGAGGGACTATTTTAGCTATATTTGCCAAAAAATAGTTATTTACATTACAAGTGCGCTCGCAAGTGCGTTTATGAACATGATTACAATAACGAGTGTGAAAGATTAGAACGACGAGGTCGTAGACCGAGTCGTTGTAATCACACGAGTTTTGTAGTCATGTTAAAAGGCACGTGTGATGTACAACGTTTTATCTGCAAAGCGAAAAATTAGAATGTTTTTTCAATTTTTTTCGTTTATTAGTAGTTGTCTACCTTCATTTTAACTTCACAGGTTTACCTTTGACCTTTCTCAAATCACCAAAAATAGTTGTGTTATAGATTCATAACCTGCTCTAGCACCACTATATAGTTGTGTTATGAATTCATAACCTAGTCTATAACACCACTAGTTGTGTTATGAGTCTCATGACACAACTCAAATACTAGAAAAATGGTTATGTAAAAACGTCATGACCAAACGCTTGCAGATAATAGTTATTTACATAACAAGTGCGTTTATGAACATTATTACAATAACGACTGTGGAAGATTAGAAAGACGAGGTCGTAGACCGAGTCGTTCTAATCACAGGAGTTTTGTAATCATGTTTAAACGCACGTGTGATGTACAACGTTTTATCTACAAAGCGAAAAATAAGACTGCTTTTTCAATTATTTTCGTTTATTAGTAGTTGTCTACCTTCACTTTACCTTTACAGGTTTTACTTTGACATTTGTCAAATCACCTAAAATAGTTGTGTTATGAATTCATAACCTAGTCTATAACACCACTAGTTGTGTTATGAGTCTCATGAAATAACTCAAATATCTACTAGAAAAATGGGTATGTAAAAACGTCATAACCAAACGCTTGTAGATAAAATAAATTTATCTATGTAAAAACGTCATAACCAAACGCTTGTAGATAAATTTATTTTATCTACAAGCGTTTGGTTATGACGTTTTTACATAACCATTTTTCTAGTAGATATTTGAGTTATGTCATGAGACTCATAACACAACTAGTGGTGTTATAGACTAGGTTATGAATTCATAACACAACTATTTTAGGTGATTTGACAAATGTCAAAGTAAAACCTATAAAGGTAAAGTGAAGGTAGACAACGACTAATAAACGGAAATGATTGAAAAAATAGTTATTTTTGTATCTAGTGCGCGAAATGCTACTTTGGTGATCGAGATCTGATTTTAGTCGAGATCACCAAAGTATTTCGCGCCCGAGTTGCAAACAATATTTTTTCTACAACTCCATTTAAATATCGATCATTCGAAGCCAAAATTGCATTCTCAATCAAAGGTAGGTGAATTTTAATTATTTTTGGTTTCCTGACAGGTATGTGTCACCATGACACCAGTGTGCGAACTAGCTCTTTCAAGCACTAGTGTGCGAACTAGCTCTTTCAAGCACTAGTGTGCGAAATAGCTAGTTCGCGCACGGCGTCATGAGAACGTTAAAAAATCAATACCTGGGAAAAAAAGTGTCACTTCGCAAACTGTCATGAATGTGCGAACATCATCATTTTTTGAAAGTTGTAGAAAAAACATTTTTATTTTTCGCCTTGTAGATAAAACGTTGTACAACACACGTGCGTTTAAACCTGACTACAATACTCGTGAGATTAGAACGACTCGGTCTACGACCTCGTCGTTCTAATCTTTCACACTCGTTATTGTAATCATGTTCATAAACGCACTTGTAATGTAAATAACTATTAAAAATTGGTATAATAATTAGACGATAAAATGGTAGTTTATCCTTAACCGGAAAAGTTAATTCACGAGCGGAATCGCGAGTGAATTAATTCCGGGAGCCAATAATGGCATTTTATCGTCGTGTTTAGAACAAAGTTTTTTTCCATAGATTATTTATGGATGCCTGTAGTATCACAAATATTTAGAAATTATTTGAGTCGAACACTTTTGCATAAGTAGAAATTCGTTTGACAAACTTTGACAAATAAATAAAAAACAAAATATGCATATAGTCGCAACACTCTCAAAATTCAAGTTGTGTCGTGGTGCAGATAAATTCCGTGTTTTTATTTGGAGAGTTTTCTTTTTCATTTATTTTCTCAAAAAGGACTATGAATTTTTCAAAAATAGGAATGCAGAAAATTCTATTCGTAGTTGCTTTATCCAATTATGTCAATTTCAAAAATTAGTGAAAGAGCCCATTGATAATGGAATTTCCTACGCACATTACTTTTTAGAAATATCCTTGCAGAAAAGACGCTAACTTATTTTGTGAAACGTGTCTCCATGACCGGTGATTTTGATGAAAGAGATATTTCCATAATCGCTTTTCCTTCTTCCTTGTAGTCGCTGCTCATTTTTTTTAATTTACATTTTTTTGAACCATAACGATTGAAGTATAAATACCGTACATTTCACACGGCTGCTCATATTGTTGTATAACTAGTCTCTTGATAGTTTCATAAGTACATAATAGTTAAATCGCTGCTAGTATAGGAAAAACCAAAACTTTCCTATTTTGTTATCAAAATTTCAGGAATTAGTAATAACTGTTGCTATAACAGAACCGATGTGTCATCACAGTTAATTATTAACGAATGTTCAAAAAAAAAGAAAAACGTAAATCACGATTTTTTATTCCAAAGCATTCCTTGATTTAGTTTTATTTGGATTATAAGTCGAACCTAGAATCAAGGTGAATAGATATTGTATTTGTATTGTCTCGGATTCCGGATCCGCTGAAATCCATTTCGCAAAATACCAACTGAACAAAATTGACTGATCAATTATCCAAACGTACCGAGCAAATCTCGTAATTAAACCGACTGACTAAAACAACACATTGATTAAAAAAAATCATCGCAAAGATCTTTTATGGACTGACTTTAAACTTACTACTCGCGATTTATCTAGTAAACCCTGGCGCCCTACTCAAATACAATAGAATTCCTGGAATAGGCATGCTAGACCTAAACAACTCAGTTCTCAGAATCCGACCGGTATTGTATTTTTATATAGAGTATCAAATATGGAATACGGATCTATTTCTAAAACTATTGGCAGTCCCTAATAAGACTGACTGAACACTAACAATATATATTATAAGGTGTGTAACCCCCCTTTTTAATAATTTAACAAGAGGCCCATATGATGCTCAGTTTGCTCAGCGAATAATTATTAGGGGTTGTTCAATAGTTTAATGGGTATACAGAATGGCAAGGGCGCCACTGAATTTGTAAAAAATAAATAATTAAATTACATAAAATATTGAAGTGTGAAAATTCAGAAACACACCTGAAAAAAAAATAGTTAGCAAACGGTGGTAGATAATTCTGGAAAGGAAATAAATAAGGCATAAAACTCAACCAAACCTCAACATAGGTGAACCAATAAAACAAGTAATTCTGTTTTGAATTTATAGTCGGTCCTTGAGGTTTCCTCAGACCTTAAGGAAGCCTTGAACGTTTAGAATTGACGTGACCAACTCGTTAAATAGTAGCAAGTATCCATTCTAAACTCGCGACTCCAAGGAAGATTCAAGGAACCACTATAAATTCGGCCCTCAGGTATTCACTCTTGCTGAGGCAAAGTGCAGTTTAGTTGTCTTTTTGATTTCGGCCAGTTTGCATCGCTCCAAACTCGCCTGGGGTCTAATGAACACCTCCTGACCGCTGTCGCGACAATTCTGAGGCATTTTGCTGGTAAGTCATTTCTGTAAATTTTGATCATATTTGTGATATATTATTATTTTTTCCTACAGCCGTGCGGAAAAATCGATTTTCCGCACTGATATGCGTGCGGAAAATGAGTTTTCCCGCACGGTGCGGTAAAACTTTTTTTTTTTGACATATCAGTGCGGAAAAAGTTTTTCCGCACGGCTGTCAGTGCGGAAACATTCATTTTCCGCACTTGTTAGGTAAATCGCTATTACCTACGAGCGTGCGGTGAAGTGCACTTTACAGCATAGTATGCGGTAGAGTGGACTGCAGAGTGTGCGGTAAAGTTAAATTTACCGCACAGTATGCGGTAAAGTAGACTTTGGTATTTATGATGAAAAATCCTATCTTTTTTCAGAAAATGGATTTTTGATAATTTCTAATTCTAATCTAATTTTATTAATTAATCTGATTCATTAATTAATTTTTTTATTAATACTTACCTTTTTTTGGAAATGTATATGCTCATAGGTAAAATTTTGTACCTAACACGTGCGGAAAGTGCCTGTACCGCACTTAACGGTTGCGTTGCGGTAAAATATCACTTTCCGCATTTGTTAGGTAAATGACTATATCAAGAATAATGGCTCGTTATACATATGAAAATGATCAAAAACGTCTTTTACAACTTTGGGCAGAGCTAGATGAAGATGAAGATTAACAAGAAGGTTATATTGAATCAGAAACGGGAAGTGAAGTCGCAACTGATGATGATGAGAATGTAATGCAAGAAAGTAATGCAGCCTTAGCAACTGATGAACAGGGAGAACACATAAATCAAGAAGATGAACTGGAGGTAACTAGTTAGGAAGAGGAGCAGGATGGAAATGACGGATCTAACACAGAACTAGATAATTACGAAGCACTTAGAGGTAAGTATTTCCAAGGGAAGGATGGCACAAAATGGTTCAAAGCTTGCTCTAATACTAGAGTTCGAACCAGGGCTGAAAATATTATAAGCCATTTACCGGGTGTCAAGCGCAATGCACGAGATTCTAAAAACCCACTTGACTGTTGATCGTTATTTATTGATAATCAGATGATTACAGACATTGCAAAATATACTACAATAAAAATCAGAGACAAATCTGCAAATTACAAAGTCAAATACTATTGTAAGGAGATGAATGAAGTGGAAATCAGAGCAGGTTTTGGTTTACTTTATCCTGCTGGTATGCTTAGAG